GGATCTTCTGGGACTACATCTTTTGTTGCAGGCTTCATCCTCAAGTCTGTCTAATAAGTGTCACTTGTGACAATAACAGAGCTTAGTGTATGCTATGAGCAACTTCTGTTCTCCTTCAGGGAATTTTCAAGTTGCATGCTGGCTCCAGTGATTATTAATGCACTAGTTTGTTAATTATAAGCATAAGAAGGTGACATCTAATGACATCTAATGCAACTGTCTTTTTTACTTTTTTCTTAGAATCTGAAATTCTTTTCAAATAGAAATTGGAGACCCTGCATATACTAAAATAGCTGTTTTATTCTAGTATATTCTAGCATAATATACATGCGCTAAAATACTTTCAGGTGCTTTTACATAAGTATATAGTTTACTTATGAGTTTTTTTCATAAGATGGTTCATTTGTTAGTGGGGATAGTCTTTCAAATGCCATTTATGAATATTTCACAATGTATACTGCAACTAAGTTACATTTCGTTTTAGTTTTGTTGTTTATTGTGGTGGTTTAATCATAAAGGAAATACAACTTCTTTCTAACCTAAAGAAGGGATGTAATTATGGAAGTGATTAAGAAAAGAATAAAGCACTAAATTAAAAGGCATCTTTGGGTAGTGTTTTTGTTTATACTACTGGAATAGGATCATTATTCTTCTGAAGTGTCAGCTCATCTCTGATTGTCTCTCTCTATATTTCAGGTTGAAGCTGAAGAACAGCCCGAGATATCTGAGTTATAATCTGTTTCTGCTGTTCCTTACTTTGTCTTCTTCAAGGTAACTCACATGGGAATTTGCTTTCCTTGTCCATGTACTGTTTGTATATCTGCTTTCTCCCACTTCACCTACCTACTAGTATTCAAAAACAAACATGCATCAGAATTAACTAAACACCAAAATCTTCATTGTCATTCTCAAACTATTTGTTCAAGATTTAATTTATACAAACTGATACTATAATTAGTATAGCTTAACTTGTACCGTAGTATTTATCCTATTTTTCAAGTTACAAATCCACAGCTACCATTTGAAAAGCTTCCACATTCCCACTGGATGTCAACTTCTCACTTCAGCATTTCTTTCATTTCTTTGGATTGAAATTTAGTGTTGATTTATTGTGCCTCAGTTGCCACCTTAGTGAAGACATCCTCTAAAGATGTGTCAGTCAAACCCCAAGATTGGACAGTAAACTTCTGCTTTGCAAGTTTAACTGTTAGAAATACATCCGAAATTTTTGCCTCGTCTTTTGGCAGCTCAAATTTCTGGGAAATTCTTGAATGGAAAGTTGTAATTGAGGCTTACAGTACTGTTGAATCTTTGTGCTTGAAGTTAAGGTCGTATGATTAGATCTATCTGTTTGATTCACCTGAAATATACATTCTTCGGGCAGATTTTAGTTGGATGGGACAACTTACAAAGGGGTTGTGAAGAACTTTTTGGAACAACAGCTCTCTTGATAGATAGAAGGTTTTCAGAGTTCAAGTAAATTTTCGACGCAGTATCCATTTACTAGCCATTTGTTGTTGTATAAATTGGAGAGGAAGGAATAGCATATAGCTGACCAGTTCCATGTCTGACATTCCCATATACATTATCGCAATCAAATCTCCCATTCTTTTCAAAGTAGTTTGCTTCTATTGTGAATCATGCGTTGCACTATACATTTTTCTGATAGAATCTATTTATAAATATGAGATATTATTACGTGAAGCATCTTGCAGTATCTATTTGTTTGTCTTGATTTCTGAAATAAATAGAGTATGAAATATTTAGTAGTATTGTATGCCCATTTCCTTATGTTATTTTATTTAGTACTCGCAACATGTTTTTCATCTCAGTTGATTAGAATCTGTTTTCATCAGGGCATGCCACCTGGCTAAGCAGGCTTTTGATTGGAAATGTGCATTGTTGTTGTAGGATCATCAGGTACTTGACTTGGCTCACCAAAGTGATTTTTATCTGTTGCAGTCCCAAGTCGAGCAGCTAAGTCCTTTGCACTTTTCTGCTAATTTACATTGCATGTAACTCTTGTTTTTCCAACAACTGATTGTGTCTCATCCTCCCTATGTTGCTCCTTATTTTTAGCCTCATCCACATCATGCTCACCCTCATTGACCAATGCATCAAAAGAGTTTACTACTCCAATACTTGTTGATGGATGAATCTGATTTACTCACCACTGTCCAATTACTGCTCTTTGTATCAGCTTTGTGTGGTGTAGTAGCAACTTGCCTTTTAGTATTAAGTACCTTCTCGTCCACATGCATTACTGCCTTCTTGAGACTTAATGAATTTTCACATAGTACACCAGCTGCAACAGTAGGTCGTATCTCTTGCGCAACAGATATCTTCTCCTTGTCGTGGAAAAACGGTTGTACATTGTCTTCTGTATTTTTAAAATGTTGCATAACTTGAAATGCATATTTTTGTACAGCATCTGCCTTCAATTGCCCAGATGTTTTAGCCTTTGGATCATCAGCTCGTTGATCAACAGTGTATTGCAAAACTCCAGCTGATTTTGCCATAAACTCCAGCTGAGATGTCGTAGCATTTGTCCATTCCAAAGCCTCAACACTTACATGTTCATATCCATCTCCATTTAAAGTAGCAGCTTTGTCACCTGCTACTTTACAAAATTGTTCAGTTGTAGCATTTATAGGTCGACAACCTCCTGCAACTATCACCATATGATCAGAATCTGCTCGAACAGCAATATGTGTCAATGCAACAGTAGAAGCTTGCAAATCTCCAGCTGATTTCTCCAATTTCTCAAACCTAGGTGTCGTATCATTTTGTTTCTCCAGATCCGCAACACTTACATGTTCATGCCCCTCTCCATTCACAGTAGCAACTTCATAACCTACTGCATTATCAGGTTTTTTATTTGTAGCAATACCAGTTCGATTCCCTCCTGTTACTGTCACTATATCACTGCCATTACCTCGTTCATTCAACACTCTATTTCCTGCTTCTATAGCCATAGCTTGAGACATCCTAGCTAAGGCACGATCCACAGGAACAATAGCAACATTATTAGATATAACAGAGTTATTGAAAATCTGAGCACCAGCATTAAAATTAGCATCAGTTAACATTGCTTTTGATCCATCTGTTGTTTCTGCCTCAATTTCACCTTGAACATTTAAAACCTGCTGTTGCAAAACTTGCTGCTCGACCAAAATTTTCTTTTTTGCTGCTTCATCAACCAGCTTATCACCTGCTATTTCCATAGATCTTTGATTCATTCTTTTGGCATTCAAGTAGTCCCTAGCATCACCTTGCAACTTCTCAAGATTTGTGATGTTACCTTGCCGGACGCCGGAGTTGTGGCTCTTGTATGTCCATTATTTTCTTTTTCTTTTTTGATCAATTTATTTAGTCTAGGCATTCCAGATGAAAGGTAATGACTTTATTTATCCTCTTTTGTAGGTGGAATAGATCAAGAAATAGAAGATGAAGGCAATGAATATCTAGACCTTAGAAATAGAAGATGAAGGCAATGAATATCTAGACCTTACTTAAGATGAATTTTGAATTGCTATAGATGAATGTTCTAGGAATCTTTTGCTGTCAACATTTTGAAACTTACTATCTTAAAATGTATTAAACTTATGCACTTGGGGTAGAACATTTACTTTTATGGATATTATTAGCCTGTTGGACGAGTTATATTATTAATAATTTCATTTTGTGAGTTATTTAAATTTTAGTGTTATTATATATATATATATATATATATATAGGAGCTATATTTCTGTTTTATATGAACTGTTACAATAGCCTACCATAACCGTTGCAATAGGACACAAATGACGTTCCATTAGAATGTAAACCGTTCCGATAGATCCAGTAAACCGTTCCAAAATGCCCTCTAAACCGTTCCAATAGGTATTTAAAACTGTATCGATACAAAAACAACCGTTACAATAGCTTAAAGAGACTGTTGTTATATCCATAAATAACCGTAACAATAGCTTACGAAAGTGTTGCATTAGATAATATGGTAACGGTTATGAACCGTTGCATACACATTATAGTAACGGTTTTAAACCGTCCCAATTGGAAGGAATAATCGTTCCAATGGAGAAAAGGAAAACCGTTGCGATAGACGTGTCTATAGCAACGGATATGAAAACCGTTCCAAGAACCGTTCCTATAGCTCTATTGGCACGCGAGCAGATGTGACGGTCTGTAAACCGTTCCAATATCGCTACGGCAACGGTTTATCAACCTACTGGAACGGTTTTCCATGCGTTACCATAGACCAATTTTTCAGTAGTGGGTAGAGGTACGCCTAAGAAGTATTGCGGAGAGGTGATTAGGTATGACATGACAATACTCCAACTTACTGACGATATGATCCTTGATAGGCGGGTGTGGAGGTTGGGATTAGGGTAGAAGGCTAGTAGTTAGGCATGTGTATCTTCTTTTCATGCCGTAGCATTAATATTAATCTCGTATCTTCGTAGCTTCCTATCTGCAGATTTCTTTTGCTATATGTTGTTTCTTTCGCTTTGATTATTCTATCACCTTATCACTTTACCCCTATATTTGGTTGTTATTACTACTTGTTGTGTTTGCCTCTTTTAAATTCTCTTTGAGCCGAGGGCCTATCAGAAATAGCTTCTCTACCTTCACAAAGATCGGGATAAGGTATCCGGACATTCTAACCTCTCCAGACCCTATTTTGTGGGATTACACTGAATATGTTATTGTTGTTTTCCTCACTAATTTTGCGAGTACTTCTTTTACAGTTAAGATATTCATTCTTTATTTTTCAAACTCAGACTCGGCTCGATTAGTCAACAATTTGAGTTAATTCGCACACTCGATCAGGCTTAATCTACACGTCCTACCTTTTCAAAATTAAAATATGCCTTATTTCGTTTCTATATTACAGAAGAGCTTTATGTTTCGACGTGTTAGCTTATTGGCAATAAATTTGCATCTAAGGGCATTTTGGAATTTTAGCATGACATGGTACGTGTCTTCTAATCTGTCCGCCACGCTTGCCCAACTCCATCTAATCTCTCTTCTCTATCCTTCTTTGTCATAGAGCATTCGAGCTCTTTCACTTCTTGTTGTTCTAAAATTAAAATCCAAAATTCATCTTCTGCTATTGTTTCTTTGTGGTTTCTATGATTAATAAAGTCCCCCGACTTGGGAAATTAATCAATTTCATGGCTGTCTTCGGTGTTTAACTTTCTCAATAGAGGAAAGGCAGTTGTTCCTCTATTCTACCCAACATCCATGATATTTTTAATGAGGTGAGTCTATTAAAGTATTTTTTTGCTATTGATGAATTCAAAGTCTCAGTCAAACTCTAGAAGGATCCGATTTTTCATTCTAAGCTTTAACTGTCTTAGACCATACTGATGAATTTTAAAATTGCTTTCCAATTTCTCCTTTCTTCTTCCAGTTTTGACTTGGTCTGTGGTACATTTCTGAGTTCTGTTGAATTTTTCTTCACTCTCGCTTGCTTTGCTTGTTGCATCCATATGTAGTTTATTGCACCTCTTTGTTGGTAATGGGTATTTTGTGGGTATCTCTTATTTATTGTTCTTTTGAAATATTTTTTCCACTGTGTACATCTGCTTTTGACATGCATGTTTGGTTTTTCCTGCATAGGTTTAAACACAATTTGGGCACATTTAATTAACATCTGGAACGAAAATGACATAAAAACAGATAAGAGCATTATTGCAGCCAAGGTATTTAACAATATGCTGTGAAAAACTATATGTTGGCATTAAAGGCTGAAATGTTTGAAATTGGGGTTTCAATAATTGAGTCGGATTGTTAACTGATGGTTTTAATGGCTAGTTGGCAATTTTCTTGATATTTATATGGGTAGATGCTCAGAGATGCGGGTTTTAATGAAGTTGTGGCCGAGGATTGTACTGAACAATTCATTGGAGTTCTCCAAAAGGAGTTAGATACTGTGGAGAAGGAAAGAGAGTCATTTATCCACGAGTTCTCTGAACAAGACTATAAAGAAATAGTCAGAGGTTGGAAGGCCAAGATAATCAGGAGTTCTTCTGGTGAGTAGAGGTGGGGTTTATTCATTGCCAAGAAGAACTGAATTATCCAAATGTGTGTTGGATCCTGTCCCATTTTATGTACTCGAAGATGAACATGCATCGCAGTAACTTTTTATGTTATGTTTGGACTCCCAAGTAATAATCAGGCTGTTTGCCTGTCTTTAGGATAAAAATTACTATACTGGGTGGAATTTGTTCTTCATTCAGCTGCCATTCTACCCTAAAAAAATGCCCCTCATTTTTGAATTTCTTTATAGATTATGTAACTTTGATGCAGGACCTCAATCTATTATATTATAACTGTAGATCGCAGAAAAAGGCAAGCACCTTATGCTGGAGCATTCTTTGGAAGATGAGCAACGCTAATCGTAATGTTTTGTCTGCTCAAATACAAAGAAGACGTTTATGAGCTCAAAGGAAAAGCTTTATTTGACGTTCTTCATGAAATTGTGTGTGTTTGTTCAGGTTCATTATTACTGCTTTGCTAATTATGTTGCTTTACGCAACCCCAAGGAATTGTTGGGGTTACTTTGGTGAGTAATGAGATTGCTCTATTTTATGGGATATTTAGGTTTGTGGAATTTGTTATTGATGAACTACAATTAAAGAAATCGGATGAGTGGGATAAGTCCAAATGTGTAAGAAATGAAATGGATTTTGAGTTGCACCACACGTAATTCAAAACTGGGTGTAACATGACTAGGTTGATGTTTTGGGAAGTGTAACTCTTTAAAATTATAGTAATGTGTAACTAAGTTGCAAGTATTTTATTTAAAAATTTCGGAGGTTAATTTGGTAAGTTTATTGTCTTCACCTTTTTCATGAAGAAGTTTATTTAATTATTTATCTTTTACTTTATTGAAAAATCTTAGAGATAGAATGCTGGAAAAAAAAGGGATATAAAAAAGAAACAAGAAGAGAATTTAGGTGAGAAGTACTGAGATGACCCAAAAGGTCATCATTTGATATACTAGTGAATTCTTTGTTCTGAGGCCTTAAAAGCCTCCTTTTATCTCACCTCGATTTGCTTGCGCAATCTGGACGTATATCCGGAACGCTTTTATATGAAAATTTGATGATAATGCTAATTTGGCCTTTAAAATTGAATTTAAGTTGACTTCGGTCAACATTTTGGGTAAACAGATCAGGACCTGTGATTTGACGGTCCCGGAGGGTCCGTAGAAAAATATGGGACTTGGGCGTATGCCCGGAACTGAATTCCGAGGTCCCACGCCCGAGAAATGAATTTTTCAAGAAAATTGTTTAACTGAAATTTTAAGAGTTTTTGGAAATTTGAATGTATTTGAAATTGATGGTATCGAGCCCTTATCTTGGTTCCGGAGCCTGGTACAGGTCTTATATGGTATTTAGGTTGAGCCTGTAAAATTTGGTAAGAAACAGACTTGATATGACCTGAATCGGACCCTCGGTTTTTAAAATTTTTGAACTTAAGAGTTTTTGAGATTTTTCTTTGATTTTGATGCTAAATTCGTTGTTAAAGGTGTTAATTTGGTGATTTGATCGTACGAGTAAGTCCGTATGATGTTTTTAAGTTAGTGTGTATGTTTGTTTTGGAGCCCCAAGGGCTCGGGTGAGTTTTGGATAGGCCACGGGATGTTTTTACACTTAGGAAAAATTGCAGGTTTGTTGTTTCTAGTGTGCTGGTGTTTTGTTCTTCGCGTTCGCGTAGGGACTCTCACGAATGCGAAGGGTTAGTTAGTCTGAAGGAAAATTTCTTCTACGCGAACGTGAAACACAGGTCGCGAACGCGAAGCCTTGGGAGTGTTACCCTTCGCGAACGCAGACCTGCTATCGCGAACGCAAAGGCCTTTTGGCCAGGGACTGGGGGAAGGGATTTTGTTCTACGCGAACGCGGCCACTTGACCGCGAACGCGAAGGTCTGAGGAGCTAAAGCTCCGCGAACGCGAGCCATTCAATGCGAACACATAGGCCATCTGGGCCTGACCCATCGCGAACGCGACAGGCCCATCACGAACGCGATGAAGGCCTGCCCAGTCATTTTAAAACAGATTTCTAAACCGCAGAACTCATTTTCTTCATATTTTCGAACTCCCAAGATCTAGAGGCGATTTTCTTCACTCAAATTCATCCCCTAAGTGTTGGTAATCAATTCAAAACTCTACTCTTTCAATTACTCAACTATTTTCATCACTTTTTAATCAAAAATCAAGAGTTTTCATGGTAGAAATTAGAAATTTGGGTAAAGTTAGGGCTTTTTGAATAATCGGAATTTCGACCTCATTTTGGGGTCGGATTTCAAAACTAATTACATATTCGAGCTCGTGGGTGAATGGGTGATCGGGTTTTGATCCGAACCTCGAGTTTTGACAAAGCGGGCCCAGGGTCGATTTTTGACTTTTGGGGAAAATGATAGAAAACCTATAATTAAGCATTAGGTATGAATGTATTTATTGATGTTGTTAAATTAATTTGGACAAGATACAAGTAATTTGGAGGCGAACTCTAAAGGAAAAGCGGTGTTTGAGGCTTGAGTTGGCCGTGGAAGTTCGAGGTAAATGTTTGGTCTAACCTTAGCTTGAGGTAATAGGCATTGTGCTATATTTTCTATGTGCTAGTATAGTGTACGACGTATAGGTGTGGTGACGAGTATCTATACGTCATTGTCAAGCATGCCCGTGAGTCTTAAATTGTAATCGTTGTGTTTCTTAATAAATACTACAAATGCCTAAGTTGTTGATTCTCCATGTTGGGCAAGAATTATGATTATTCTCGTGGTATTTGTTCATTGTTGAGTATTGGTTTTAGTTTAGGTTTCATTCGGGAAGTTAAACGTTGGTACAAGATTGGTTATAGATGACTCCCTTGCCGGGATGTGTTTATTCTTATGGTTGATTCCCTTGCCGCGATATTGCTGTTTCCTTATTGTTCCCTTGCCGGGATGTGTTTATTCTTATGGTTGATTCCCTTGCCGGGAGATTGTTGTCTCCTTATTGTTCCCTTGCCGGGATTCTTTGTGATTGGTGCTGATTTGTATATTGGGATCGGGTTGCACACCGCAACAATATTATATGGGATCGGGTTGCACACCGCAACATGGAGTAATAAGGGAGAACAGGAGGGGTCGGGTTGCACGCCGCAACAGTGATATATGATTTGGATCGGGTTGCACGCCGCAATAATATTATTTGGATCGGGTTGCGCGCCGCAACAATAAAGAATAAAAGTAGATATTGATTCGTTACTGTTTCCTTATTCTTACTGATGCGCACTTTAATATGTTCTTTATGCTTTTCTCCTGAGTTACTGTTGGTACTTGATATTCCCTGCAGCATGTTCCCCTTCCCATCTTATGCTGCTAGTTTCCATTATTATTACTTGTCGTACATGCTTTAACTGCACAGGTTTATTTGGTAGTCTTGTCCTAGCCTCGTCACTACTTCGCCGAGGTTAGGCTCGACACTTACCATCACATGGGGCTGATTGTGCTGATACTACACTCTGCACTATGTGCAGATCTCGGTACCGGAGCTTTTGGACCTTAGAGTGGTTGCTGCCGTCAGTCCAGCGGAGACCCGAGGTAGTCCTACAAACGTCCGCAGGCCTTGGCGTTCCCTTCTATCTTTTATGTTTTCATTTACTTCAGAGACAGATTGTATCTTTCTTTTCAGACAACTCTTTATAGTATTCGTAGATGGTCTGTGATATTGTGACACCAGTTCTGGGTAGAGATGTATTTTGAATGTTTTATATTCGTATTTGTCTAAGTTATCAGATTTCGTCTTCCGCATTCCTTTTATTAATGTCATTATTCCGTTGATAATCGCATGTAAATTTAAAATTGCTAAAAGGTTAAGAAAAAGGGTAATAAGATATATAATACTCGCCTTGCCTAGCTTTCACGAGTAAGAGCCATCACGACTTTCGAGGGTGGGAAATCCGGGTCGTGACAAGTACAATATTAGATAATTAAGAGATGAAAACAGAAAAGATTTTAATGAGAAATACAATATTAGAAAATTAAGAGGTGAAGACGGACAATGTTTATTCTGTGTTCAAAATGGGTTTAGGAATAACAATAACAACAACAACAACAACCTACTAAAATTTCACAAGTGGGGTCTGGGAATGACTACATTGAAATGAAAACAAAAACAATGTGTTGATATGTTTAATTTTTCCTTTTTCTTTCTTTCTTTTGGGAGACAGTAATTGACCCAGATAATATGCAAATCAAGTATATTTGTGTTCTTCTGTTTGAACAAAATAAGTAATATTTATTTCTTGCTACTTGGGGTTTATATTTTTTTTTCTTAGCATTCATGGTATTTGGTGTTCTTTGATGCTTTGTACATGCTGATAGAATTGAGCATGGATTTGATTTCATGTCACATGGCTCTCTGATACGAAGTGCTATACATTTTCAATAGAGCACTGAAATGATTATTAGTTTGTGTCTAACAGCTTTCAAGCTTCTATTGTGTTCTTGTTATGCTGCATGCATAGCTACTTTACCACTAAACATTTATAGTACTACAAAGCTCCCTAAGATTTCATTGCATTTAGTTTTTGGTATAGGTCGTTAACTATTCTAATTTGTCGGTTTTCTCTAACATTCCAAAAATATATGTTTGTATTTCTGATAAAGTGATATTGAAAGAGCATCCAGATAGGGAAAGTATGATTCTCTTTTAGGACACTATACAAATGCTAGAGATAATCTACAAACTGAACATAATTTATTGCTATTGAGAGAGTTATAACCAAATATGAATTAAAACTTTCAGACAAACATTACCGAATTTGGGAGGTGTCTATTTTGTATTTTGTCATAACTATAGTTTATTGATATTCCTCAATCAAAGTAACATGTGGTTCAAATAATTAAAATGACATGGCCATTAGTTATTAAATTTTACGTAGGAGACAACAATTTATCTATGCAGGTTTTGTGCTTCTTGTTTTGAAGCAGTAAAACTTTTTTATGCTTGGTATTTGGATGCCCGATATCTGTTTGTTGGAAACTCCTACTACCCTAAAAGACTTAAGTATTAGCTATCCTTTTTTCTAAATGTTTTGCTTTTGAAGAATCAACTTTTGAGGAGATTGCTCAAGAGTTGTGTGAAAGTTCTTTATATCATATTAAGATTGCTCTCTATTATTTTTCACTATTACTCTTTTTTATTTCTTAAAAGGCATGAAGTAGACAAAAGAACGCGGATGACCCCTAACCTTTGAAGTTGAAGAGTGAGATAGTTAATTTACTATGTTGCGTTTGTTGCTTCCATAAGTTTCTTGATGATTTTTTTTCCTTCACTTTGTTTTCTTGAAGGCAGGAGGTAAATTTTGATGAGTTTTCCATGTAAACAGGTATTCTATATGAGTAACTTGGATAGGAATAATCTTCGCCCTGACATTTAAATTTATTTTCTCTTAAATCTGATAAAAAAAAATTCATCTGTTACTCTTCCTCTCTTTCCTTCATTTTCTTTTAGTTCAATGAAGGTGGAATTTATTGAGTTCCTCATACAAATTGGTAAATTTATGTATTTAACTCACCCGGTGAAACTGATTGTGGTCTTGACATTACTTGTCCCCAAAAAAATTGGTCTTGACTTCTTTTTAAGGCAATATTAATCACGCTTCAGCAATTATGTGGCCTTTGAAAGCTCTGTTATTAATTGAGTTCGAAGTACTTGGCATGCATTGGCTGATTATCTTATAGAAATTTTTCTTATTCTGCGGCACCTGGTTCCATTTCCTGAAACTAACTGTCTAGATCAAGCATCTAACTTACCAGAAGGTGTGTTAAGTTCATTGCAATTATTTT